GCCGGGAGCTGTCTAGCCGCTTTGACCACCCCCTTGGCCTCCGAGTGGTCCTTTGCAGCCTGCAAATATCGTGTATCCAATCCCCTTGCAGCGATGCACCTCCCACACACAACCCCGCACAACTCTATCCCCTAGGGTACTCAAACATGCATGCAATGCCCCCTTCGCTATCCCTCCCCCGCACCCCCCTCTTCACACATCCCTCTTCCATGCATGCGATCCCTACCCGCTCCTCCCCCTCCACGCTCACTCCCACCACCGCCCTGTGCCATCCCACCTCTCCCCCTCCTGGGCGGCAGGCGAGGAGGCACTGTATGAGGAAGACCTGGGGGAGGACGAGGTGTTGGATGAGCTCAGCCCCTTGGGAGTGCAGCTGGCCTGGGTGCTGGGCCGGCAGGGCAGGCACGCGGGTGAGCGGCCCACGTCGCACGGCTGAAGGGCGCTCGAGGGCGGGCGTTGGTGATGGGGTGAAGCGAAGCGTTCCCTGGTGGTGGGGGTCCGGCTGGCGTGGGTTGCTGGGGCGTGCAAGCGGATGAGGGTCTGTGCGTGCATAGGTGCTGGAGCGGGTGGGTTACCTTTGGGGTGCAGCTGAGCTGGGTGCTCGGGCGGCTGCTGGATGCTGGGGCGGCAGCTGGGTGCTGTGTCGAAATGAACCAGGCGAAAGGCACCAAAGGCAGTGCAGTGCCGTGGCGGCCCGTGAGGGGCAAGTCTGTCTGACGAGCGCACACTAGCACTTCCCCCCTCTCGGCCCCACTCCACGCACACACCAACACTGGATGCCCTCCTGGCCACCCCGCGCAGAGGCTCTTGAGCGCCTGGAGCCGCTGGTGGGCGGCGAGCTCAGCGACCCCGCCACCAGCGCCGTCGCCGCCAACAACATCGTGGTCGAGGCATACGCTGCCGGTGAGGCGCGCCCGCAGTGCCGTCAGCGCCCGCCGCCGGCGCCCGCGCCGGCGGGCCTGGGCATGCCGCGACGCGGCGGCCGCCCGGCCGCGTGGGGCTTTGGGCGTTGTCTCGCTTTGGGCGGCGCCGCGTGCTTGCAAGGCTTGCTCCCTGCTTTGTTTGCTGCCGCCACGGCCGCGCCCCCTCTCATCGCTCCCGCGCCATGCACCCGCCCCTCAAACCCTGTGACTTTCCTCCGCCTCAACCCCGTCGCCGTCCCGCGGCCCCCGCATCCGCGCCGCTTCAAACCCACCGTCCCCCGCCAGACCCCCATCAGAAGGGCTTCTACGGCCGCAGCATCAAGCGCCTTGATGGCCTGCTCGACCGCTCCAGCGCCGACCCGCTCGCGCTCGCGCAAGGGCTCGGCACGCGGCTGTCGGCGGCGCAGCGGCGGGCGCTGCACCTCAACCGGGCGCTGCTCTACCTGCTCGGGTGCGCGGCGGCGCGGGGCCGCGCCGGCCACCCGCCCCGCTCGTCGGCGCGCTCCGGCTGGAGCGAAGCGTATGCACACTCCCGACCCTCTCAACGCCCGCTCTCGATCCTCCCCCTCCCCTCCTCCGTCTGGCCTTGAATTTGCCGTCCTTTCGAACTCCTCGGCGAACCCGCATGTCCCGCTCGCATCCAACAGCGGCAAGGCGGACGCGGCGCGCGACCTGGCAGGCCACCTGTCCAAGGCGTTCCCCGACAGCCCCTTAGTCATCATGCTGCAGGCCGTGCTGCTCGCGCGCGGCGGCAAGGTGCGCCCGCCCGCCGCGCGCGCGCGCGCGCCCGCTGCCCACGCCTGCCGGCGGCTGCGCGCCTCCGTGCTATCAAACCCACCGCCGGCGCCCTCCTCATCCCAACCGTGCCAATCACTGGCTGCCTTTGCGGTACCGGTATGGGAGGATGCAGTGGCGCCCCCTGCCGCTGCGCCTGTCGGCTGAGCCTCGATCCCACTTTTCCCTGCCGCAGGTCGCAGAAGCTGACAAGCTCCTGTCCAGCCTCGCCTCTGGCGCCGACGCCGACGGCGACGCGGCGCTCGCTCCGCAGCTGCTGCGCGCGCAGCTCGCGCTCGAGGACGGCGACGCGGCGGGCGCGCTGGCGCGGCTTGCGGCGCTGGGTGGCGGGCTCGCGGCGGCGCCGGGCGTGCTGGCAACGCGGGTGGCGCTGCTGGAGCAGGTGATCCCACTGTCGCGCGCGGTCGCCCTGGGTTCTCATCGATTCAAACCGCTCGCGCTGACAGCTGGAGCCATCGTGTCCCTGGACAGCTGGCGGGTAGCGCCGGCTCGACGCCCCTTGTCGACAACCCCATGGCCACCACTCAGCAACCCCTCACTGTCCAACCAGCACTAACCGACCCCCGCAACAAACGCGCCCCCCCCCCAAAACATTTACAACCAGGTTGGTGATACCGCCGGCGCCGAGGCGCTGCTCGAGTCGGCGTTGGGCGAATACCAAAACGCGGCCCGCGCCGACCCCCGGGACGAGGCGGCGTCAGAGGCGGTCGGCTGGTGCCTGCAGCGCCTGGTGGTTCTGAAGCTGCAGCTCGACAAGGCAGCTGAGGCCACCAAGCTCTTCCTCCAGCAGCAGCAGCAGCAGCAGGGCGGCAGGCGCGGCGCCGCGGCGGCGGCCGCCACGCCGGCAGACAGGGCGGTGCTCGCGCGGCTGGCGCGCGCGGCGGCGGCGGCGGGCGACACGGGGGCGGTCGCGGTGCTGGCCGAGCGGCTGCCGGGCGGCGCGGATGCGGCGGGGCGGGGGCTGGACCCAGACGCTCTGGAGGATCTGACGCGCGCGCTCAACAGCGTCCGCGCGCAGCGCCGCCGCGAGGCCGAGGCCGAGGCGTCGGCCGCGCCGGCCGACGCGGCGGGCAAGCGGCGGCGCGGCGCCGGCGGCGAGGACGGCGCGGCCGCGAAGAAGAAGCGGAAGCGGAAGCAGAGGCTGCCAAAGGGGTACGACCCGAGCAAGCCCAACGGCGGGCTGCCGCCGCCGGACCCGGAGCGCTGGCTGCCCAAGTGGCAGCGCAGCGACTTCAAGAAAAAGCAGAAGCGGCGGCGGGACAGGACGGAGGGGCCGGTCAAGGGCAGCCAGGGGGCGGGCAAGGTGGATGACAGCCTGGACCGAGCGGCCAAGAAGGCGGATGCCATGGAGGTGGACCCGAAGGGCAAGGGCCCCGCGGGCGGCGCGCGGCCGAGCCTGCCGCAGCGGAAGGGCGGCAAGAAGTGAGGGGCGGCGGCGGCGGCGCGGTCGGAGGAGGGGGGCGGCGCGGCGCGGGGCTGCTGCGGGCGTGTGCGGCGCGGCGGCAAGGGGGTGCGGCCCTGGTCTGGTGGCGAGCCGGGTGCTGCGGCTTTGTAAAAGCGTTGGTTGGCATTGACGCGGCAGCCCGGGGACAGGGAGTAGGGCCACAGGAGTGCTGCAAGAAGCCACGTTATTCTGGCAGCATTGCGGCCGGGGGCTCGCCTGAGGCAGGCGAAACCATGTGTCGCAGAGCGCAGGCATTTCACACGTGGTGGCCCTGCAAGCATGAGATGTCGCAGGGCCGCAAGAGCCGCGTCTTTGGCGTTGGGGCCGGTCCTCGAAAGTGTTAGCGCCTAACCCTGATGCGTCGTCTCCGGCGCATTGGCCCTCAATCGATGCGCCCCTGTCTTTGTCAAGGGCGCTTCAAACGGGTACAACGCCGTCGGGCAGCACGGGGTCCATCGAAGCCATGCGCACGCTAGACGAATGTGTCCGTTTTGGCCTGCACTGCACTGGATCTACACAACATCCGCCGGTGTCAAGGGGGCACGCGTCGTGTCGCAGCACAAGGAGCCCGTCACTCGGATGCCTCTCCCGGGCGTCGGCACCCCACTGTGCAACGTAGCCAAACTCGGGTGCTGACCTCACAGGCGGCAGGCAGCTGAACGCATTCGATCATGTTGGTGATGGATTTTGGGCTTGAACCGCCCTGGTCCCAAAACGACATGGGAGGTCGTGCTGTGCACAGCAGAAGCCCTGAGCAAAAGTGCCCTGAGCAAAAGTGCTGGAAGAGCTTGTGAGCTCGACCCCCCCCCACTGGCGGCCATGCACGTGCTGGCTGTACCATGCACGCGCACTGGATCCCGAAAGCTCCAACTGCTAACAATGAACAACGTCATGCAATTTGCAAGAGATCGGGGACACCATGCTGTGTGGGGCCACCTGGTCACGCGACAGGCGGCACCTAGTGACGCCGCCCGGGGGCACTGGACAGCGTAAAGACCTTGGTTGGATCGCAGCCGGGAGTCACACAAGTGTGCGTCCATACAGGATCGTGATGGCCTGTGAACAGGCACTCGAGGCGACGAGAGCCTGCAAACTGCTTCTGATGAAACGATCTCAGAGCTGTCTCAGAACACGGGAGTTTTGAAGTGGTGAAAGCAGTATCCTTTAATAAACTGCGACATGTCGCGGGGGCTGCACACACCCCTGGAAAAGCTATTCGAACGCCTCCCGCACCTCCGCCGCGAGTTGGAGAACGATAATGCGCTTGATGACAAGGTGAGTTTGCTTCAACGATCGACTTAGCCGCGGTAGTGCCGCGTCTCGCCGCGTCTGCCGGACGGCGGCGGCCGCCGCCTGCTGCTTGTTGTGCCGCCGCTGTTGCCGTCACCGCAGCTGCTGCAGCCGCCGCTGGAGCTTGCAGGCCCTGCCAACACCCCCAATTTCTCGTCACTGCCTCCAACCCCGTATCAGAGTGATCCCCACCTCCTACAGCTGTGGCAGCAGCTGGTGGTGCGGCCTGACGTGGCGCTCGCCGCCGGCGGCGCCCTGCGGGGCCTGCCGCTGCTGCGGGTAGTGCACAGCTTGGTGGAGGCCCTGCAGTCGGGCGCCCTGCCCGCGGCGCGGCTGGACGCGACGGCGGCGACGACGGCGCTGCTGCTGCTCCTGGAAATATCCGACAGCCTCGGCGGGTAAGCCCTGGTTTCGGGGGCAAACGGTTGTGTTTCGTCAAACACCAAAGCCATGCAAGGCGCTGGCCCTCCTGTGTCGGCTGCAGCCGCGCCGCTGGCGCAAGGCGGGCGTGCGCCTGCACGTGGCTTACGAAGCAGCTGCGCGGTGGGAGCCGTGCTCGCACATGCGTGCTGGGACGCTCACCCCCGGACACACGTCCACTGCTCTTTTTGCAGGCTGCTGGCGCGCTTCTTTAGCCACGTGCCATCGCCATGGCAGCAGCTGGCGGCCGCCGACCAGCACCAGCAGCAGCAGCCGGAAAGCGCAGACGAGGCCGCCTCCGCGCTCGCGATCGCTGCTCTGCGCGCTCTTGAGATAGAGCCACAGCTGGCGTCTGCGTGGCACATGCCGCTCGTCCTGCAGCTCGTGTCCCACAGCCTCCCCGCCGTCCGCTGGGCCGCGGCGCACGCAGCTGCGCGGCAGCTGCGCATGGGCCCCGCGGCGCTGTCGCGGCTGCTGGCGCAGCGGCTGACGGATGAAGAGCTGGTTGGATGCCAGCGGCGGTGGGACGCGCAAAGGGCTGCGGCTGAGCTTGAAAAGGCGCGCTGGTGGCTGGGGGAGTCCTCAGAAGTCGGGGCCGCGGCGGCGGGCGGCCGCGCCGAGCCCGACGCCCCGGGGACGTCCAAGGCGGCGCGCAAGCGGCAGCGCCGGCGGCAGGCGGAGGAGGAGGAGCAGCAACGGCAGCAGCAGCAGCAGCAGCAGCAACCCGACAGCGGCAGCGGCGGCGGCGGTGGTCCCGCGCTGCCGCCGTCATCAGGATTTGTCGAGCTGTGTGGATTGGAGGTGCCGTCTCGCCGCGCCGCCGCCGGCGCCGCCACGGCGGCCGCCGCCCCTTCAGCCCGCCTCGTCCGAACCGCCGGCGCGGCGGCGGCGCTCGAGGCCGCCGCGCTTGCGCTGTGCCAGCGGCAGCCGCTGCTGCTCGAGGGCCCGCCCGGCTGCGGCAAGACGGAGGTCGCGCGGGAGCTCGTGCGGGCGACGGGCAACGCAGCGTCGGCGTTCTGGCTGCATCTGGATGACCAGATGGACACAAAGTCGCTGCTGGGCGCCTACACCTGCACGCCTGTCCCCGGGGAATTCGCCTGGCAGCCGGGCCCCCTCGCGCGCGCGGTCGCGGAGGGGCGGTGGGTCGTGATCGAGGGCCTCGACGCGGCGCCGGCGGACGTCGCGGCGGCGCTCGCGCCGCTGCTCGAGTCTGGGTCGCTGCACGTGCCGAGCCGCGCGCAGGTGCTGCACGCCGCCCCTGGCTTCCAGCTCGTGGCGACCGTCACCACCGCCCCCGCAGCCGGGGGTTCAGACGAGGCGGCGTTCGGCGGCGGCGGGCAGCAGGATCTGCTCGGAGGCCTCTGGGCGCGGGTGCAGCTGGAGGCGCCAACGGATGAGGAGCAGCTGCAAATACTGGGCGGCACGTTCCCTGAGCTGCTGCCGATCCTGCCCGCAGCACTCGCGGCGGCGCACCTCACGCACCTCGCCGCCGGCCACACGGCGCCGCCCCTGGGCGCCGTCGGCGCAGGCCCCGACGAGGCCGCCGCAGCCGCGGCGGCGGCGCACGCGGCAGCGGCGTGGCGCGCGCAGGCCGCCGCGTGCCTGCGCGGCGCGGGCGTGCGGCCTGGGGAAATGGCGCTGCAGCTGCAGCGCCGCGCGGGGCTGCGGGACCTCGTAAAGTGGTGCCGCCGCATGCGCGGCACGCACGCGCCGCTGCTCGCGCGCGCGCTTCGCGCGCCGACTGCGCCACCGGGCGGCGCGGAGGCGGCAGCGGCGGCCGCGCCCTTCGTCCTCGACGCGTCGCAAATCGACGTCCACGTGCGGGAGGCCGCGTTTGCAGAGGCGGCCGACCTGTTCGCGGGCCAGGTTGCAAAGCCGGAGGCGAAGCTGCGGCTGCTGGGCGCGCTTGGCGCGCTGTGGGCGCTGCCGGCGCAGGCGGCGGAGCAGTACGAGGAGCTGGAGAAACCTCATGTGTCGCGTCAGGGGGCGGAGGTGCAGGTGCGGGCGCTGGGCTGTTGTGCGCCGCCCTGCACGCTCCGTGTGGATCCGCGTAAAGTCGGGACGGGCATGCTGCTGAGCCACGCGGCGCCGCCGCAACCGGAACCGAACACGGCGCGTGGTCGCCCTGGCGGCGGCGCCTGCTAAATGAACGTGGCGCCCCAGGCGCAGCGTCGGGGCGCCGAGAAACCCTCTCCACTGCTCGCGCTGCGCCCTGCCTGCCGCGCCCTGCCTGCCGCGCCCGGCTCTGCTCTCCGGGTCTCCCGAGCGCCCCCCCCAACCCGCTCGCACGTGCCCCTCGGCCCCAAACGCAGGT